CAGCTGTTGTTAACTTTGTAGGACAAGACAAAGACATTCAGAAGCTCTGTCAGACTTACAGAGGACGATATGTTGTTCTTAACATCAAAGAAAAGCAAACCATCACGAACCTTCTGCATGAAGTGGAAAATATGAAAGCTGAAGGATCCAAATGCTTCACAAAGGACATGTTCACCAAAGCTCAAATGGAGAAGGTAACAAGACTTAAAGCTGAACTGCAGGAAGTTAAACGCAGCAGTGTGGCTTCATCTGATGATGCACATCAAGCTGAACAGTCCATCAGGATGGTGCTGCTTGGAAAAACTGGCAATGGAAAAAGTGCAACTGCAAACACCATTTTGGGCAAAAAGGTGTTTTTATCCAGAGTCAGTCAGATTTCTGTGACCAGAGAATGTCAGAAAGCAGCAGGAGAGATTGATGGATGTCCTGTTGTTGTGGTCGACACCCCCGGCTTGTTTGACACAAAACTGTCCAGTTATGAAGTTCGACAAGAGCTTCTGAACTGTATCAGCATGTTGTCTCCTGGACCTCACGTGTTCTTACTGGTGCTGCAGATCGGTCGATTTACAGAGGAGGAAAAAGAAACTGTGAAAATAATCAAAGAGATTTTTGGAAAGAAGTCAGGAAACTTCATCATTGTTACCTTCACCAGAGGAGATGAGCTTGAAGACACATCCATTGAAAGTTACATAGAAGAAGACTGTTCTGATTTTGTAAAAACTCTGATTAAAGACTGTGGAGGCAGATACCACATCTTCAACAACAAAGATCCAAAAAACCGTAGACAAGTGTCAGACCTGCTGATGAAAATTGAAGCCATGTTGAAAGACAATGGTGGTGGATACTACACCACTGAGATGTTCCAAGAGGCTGAGGCAGCGATACAGAAGAAAGTGGAGAGGCTGCTGAAAGAGAAGGATGAAGACATGATGAGAGAGAGGGAGGAGCTTAAAAGGAAACATGAAGAAGAAATGCAAAAAATAAAAAGAGAAATGGAGGAACAGATCTCTAAATTTGAGTCTGAGAAAGAGCAGAGTATGAAACAACTCAAACAGATGGAGGAACGCATTAACCAGGAGCGAGAAGCGAGAGAGAGAGAACAGAAAATCAGAGAAGATGAGGAGAGAAAGAAGAAAGAACAGGAAGAAACTCAACGAGAACAATGGAAACAAAAACTGGAAACTTTGGAGAAGCAAATAGAATCTGAATCAAAGGAAGAGTTCATCAGAGAGCTGGAGCAAAACAGGGAAGAAATGAGACGAGAGAGAGAGGCCTGGGAGATGGAAAGGAAAGAATGGTGGGACAATAAGGATCAAGAAAGTATACAGAGACAAGAAGCAGAAGAAGTGAAAATTAAAAAGCTGACAGAAAAATATGAAAAGGAAAAAGAAGATTATCACAGAAGAATAAAAGATTACAGTGTCAGAATAGAACAGGAGGAAAGAAAAAGAAAAGAATTAGAGAAAGACCACAAG